AAGGAGTCTAAAGGAAGACCTATCTCCAAAGTCCAAACTCTTTGCTGCACTATGCCACCTGAGCTCATCCAGGTCACTCTGTGGTATTCATTCAATTCCAGACTGAAGAAAGACCTTGCCACACTAGTTAAAAGCTTATGAAGAATAAATGTGCAACTTGCATTAGAGATTTTGAGACACCTAAAATAGCTTCAAGAGTCCCATCCAAGCCTTCGTGGACATGCTAGCTGCCCTCGACCTCTCATAGGGAACCATTGACCTGGATCTGACTGAATACCATTTACAATGTGAATCTTCCAGATCTGCACAAAAAATAGCTGCTTAAGAATATTCTCTGATGCTCTGGGGTTTGAAGTCAAGTAGAAGCACGAGACGGAATGACATTCAAGGCTCTTCTTAAACTGACCTTCACTCTCTCTTCAGCTCCATTTTCCAGAACTGTGTTATGCACACTGAGTCTGAACCAATAGGTGAGGAACTGAGTATCTGTGCTTTTAGAAAACTCCTCGGGAGCCCTTTACTGGCTGGACATTTGGGGAGGATTTCCTGTTTGTGGCTCTTCACAGACTTGATTAATCTCCTGGGTATCTCAACATTTACTAGGCATGGTAGCTATTCTCTTAGCTTTGAGCTGTTGTCCATGCCCATGCCCCAGACATGGCTCAAAGGCTCTTGTGGGAAGCCAGATCTAATGTCTTCTGTTAGAATTTGTCATCACTGACCACTCTGAAACACTCAACTCACATTCTGCCTTCTATCATGGGATGTTGTTCCTGAGTTATGCCCAGCACAGAGTAAGCTCTTTCAAACAGGACTGGTTTTCACTCCTCTTTGCACCCCAAAGCTCTTAGAAAAGGCACTAGCCATAGAAGTTCTTAATATGGATTAGCAGGTTTAATTTGTTATTGGCAACTGGAAATAGCCACTGTCCTGGAAACAGACGTCCCCCCTCTCAAGTGGCTGATGCCATTGGCAAGAAGTGAGAGGGGCACATACACAAATTGAAAATAATGTTTCATTTTTCCCTTAAAAATGTGACCCAGGATTAACAATGCACAAATGGTTCTCAGGAGCTAGTCTATCAATGTGATCAAATTTCCCATCACCAACTCTGACAAAATGTTTTAGTATTTGCATTTGTCATCATTAACCAGCACTCTCACACCTGAAATGGAGCCAGTGTCTCCTGAGCCTGACTCCACCTCCAGGCCTCAGCCAGCCACAGTCATCCAAGTGCATGCTTCTACCTCGAATCTGTTCCCTGGCAATCTATTCTCTGATTACCAGCTGGTATTTCTTGAGCACTTACTATCTTCAGGGATGGAAACCTCCACTGTCTGCATAATATCTAATCCTCATCACAGCCTCCTGAGGTGCTATTATCACCAGTCTCTAAATGAGACAATTGAGCTTGGAGAGGTTAAATAACACTCACAGCTGTATAGCAAAGCTAGGGTTTGAACCCAAAGGAGCCTGGGTGCAAAGCCTATGTTCTTAACATGTCTGCTAACTGTTTAATAAGAAGATCCTGCCTAAACAATGGCTTCAAAATATTAGTGGAAGAAGGAAAGGCTCTGGGTATGCTCTGGCTGGTTGGAAACACGATTTCAAAGGACACAATTTTACATCATGTGAGCTCACGCCACTTAGAGCTCAGAGCTCACCAGGCAAAGGTCCTGGTAAGTGCAGATAGCACTTCTAACTGAAGATCCTTTAAGGGTTGTGTCCGTGGTCCTGAAAACTCTGAGCTCAAATTTAGGAAACCATATGATGGCCGCCCAACTCAGGGCCAGTGAGCACAGGCGCCAAGCTGCCTCACAAACACAGCCTCACGAGCTTTCACAAAACGGAAATGCCAAGGAAGCTCAGGAGATCCCCCATACCCCATTCTCTCATTGTGAAACTGGGGAGTCTGAGGCTCAGGAAAGTCAGACATTTGCCCAGGTTACACAGATAATGAGCACTCAGCCAAGGCTCGAAGTCAGGCTTGTCTTTTTGTAATTTTTATTTTTTTCAATCACAGAAGAAAATAGGATTATGGTAGCACTGAAACATTAAGAGCATATATAATGCAAAAAAAAAAAAAGTCTTCTATCTCACTCTCACCCCAGGTTCCTGCCCCACCCCAAAGATCACCAGTTTCAGTGGTGTGCTGTGAACATCATCCTACCATTTTCTAAATTCACACTCATGCCTGAAAACATCTGCACACATTGTTTCTTTCACAAAAATGGAATACACCCACATTTGTTTATTTTGAAAGGTGTCAAATACATTCTCAGGTAATGGATCTAGTCCTTTCTTAGTAAATGCTGCCTTGGAGGTCAGAGTCGAGAGGCTGCACTAGGTGTTCAAACATTCTCTTCTTGCCTGGCTCACGCCTGGCCCCTAGCCACTTGGGATGCTGAGACTGGGACAATCGCAGTTTGAGGCCAGTCTCTGCAAAATGTTAGCGAGACCCCATTTCGAGGCATTTCAGGGCATAGTGATGTGCACCTGTCATCCCAGCTAGGCAGGGGGCTGAGAACAGGAAGGTGATGGTTCCAGGACAGTCCAGGCAAAAGTATGAAGGACCCCAATCTCAATGGAAAAGAGCTGGGTGTGGTAGCACTCACCTGTTATCCTAGCTACACGTGGGAAGAGTAAATTGGGGGATCATGGGCCAGGCTGGCCTGGGCAAAAAGTGAGATCCTATTTCCAAGATAACCAGAGCAAAGGGCCGCAGGTGTGGCTCCAGCAGAAGAGCACATGCATACCAAGCATTAAGTCTTGAGTTCAAACCCCAGTGTACCGCCACACAAAAAAAGAACCCTGCCAGTACAAGGGTGGCTTCAGTCTCACTGGTTTCAAAATAAAAACCTGGTCTGCTAAAGGAGATAGCTAGGAATCACATAGTTTCCAGACAGTGGATTCCACCTTCTATATGTTAGATCCTCAGAGCTTTCAGTAAGCTAATCACCACAAATTAAATCTTTGTATCAACTGCTTAAAGCCTGCTCACTAACTAAGCTGTGTGAACTTGGGCAAACCACAGTTTCTTCATCTGTGAAATGGAAGCAGTACTACTTACTGTATAGAATTTTGTAAATCAAAATTAAAGGAGGTGATAGCTATAGATAGAGAGCTTAACATTTTATATGGCACACAGTAAACATTTAATAAAAAATAGCTACTATTATTATTGTTGTTATGGCATTCATATACTATCAAAAGAGGTACATGGACATTGTACGCATGTGTGAAAAGATCATAATGAAACTCATTTAAAAAATTTGCAAGAAAGTTTAAAAAAGGGAGATTGGGGAGATAAGAGAGCATAATAGAGGGGATGAATACGGTCAAAGTTGATTATATGTATTTATGGAAATAGCACAATGAAATCCCTCACTTTATATAATTAATATATGATAATGAAATAATTTAAAAAACTAAATGTGGATTTTAAAATAAAACATACGCATAATATTGAAACCACTGTATATTATGTATTTTAGCACTGCAATGGAAAGGAAAAGACAAAAATGATTAACTAATGATAGATTAGTTAATGAATTTGATTGGCTATTTAAAAATGAAAGGTACAGAGGTTTTAGTATGAATGTTCATGTTTTATATCTTCACCTCTCATTAACATGTAACCAGCCTCTGGAAAATTCATCAGCCCTTATTATTAAATGCCAGCCTCTATGGGTAAGAGCAAGTGGCAAAGAGGAAGGGAACAGGGCTGGCAGGGCTTGGGTAGATATTGGAGGTTGAAGATTTAAAAGACACCAAAAGCATAATCCCTACCTAGCCATTCAGTGTTTATATCAGGCCTTCAGTGAAATGATGGAAGGTGTTCGGATGTTTAAATCCAGAGCTTTCAGCATTCACAAATAGGGCTACTTCCAGCTGAGAAGAGGAATCACCACCATGAGTTAGGGGTAGAAAGCCCAAGTGTGCACAAATGGGAATATAAGAGAAATGCAATTAGAAAAGCAAGTAAGTGGGGCCTGAGGTTCCCAGAAGTCTGACTAGAAAAATCCTGATAGGTGTGGGTTCTCACTCTAGATGTCTTATGGCTTTGAAGATGTTTGCAATTTGCACACTCTGCAGAGCCCAGATTTTGCTTTGAAAAGGGAAGCTTATAAAGCACTGCATCAGTACTACAGTAAGTGAACCCAAGACCAATTTTGGTTGCACACACGTTCACAACTATGTGAAAAACGTTGTTAATACCAAAGCCCACTTCTATCACTCAACTGTTTTTACATTGTAATGGTCAGTTAAGTGTTGCAAATCTGGCCAGGAAAGGGAGACAGCATAAAATTACTGTAAAAAAAATGAGAACAAGAAAAAAAGGAGAAAGCTAGGAAAAGGAGGAGGGAATGAAGTTGAGAGGAAAAAAATCTCATTTCATTTTCTTATTCTTAGCCTTAAGAAGGACCCTAAGTGCCACACTGGAAAGTGTGTTCAAAACACTCTGATTTTCTGTTAATAGCATTAAAAAAAAGCAATAAATTAATGTGTGTTTTTAAAAAATCCTTTGATTTTGAATCCATTCAGCTTTAAATCTGGGTTATTACTTTAAAAGCTAGATACATTCTGAATTTCCTAAAGTAACGTAAAGCATTCAATCCCAGGCCAAGAAAAATCCCAAACCAACCAACAGAAGGCCAGGGAAAATGAATGTAGCAGCTTTCAACTTGAATTATTCGAATTCAGGAAATTAAAAGTCTTTCATCTTTTTCCCCAATTAACTTTTAAAACATTTTAAACACATTGCCCTAAATATTTCAAAATGTAATCTGAAAGTGATCAAATTCCATTTTATGAGCTGAATAGTATGGATAAATATACCAATTTTATTAGGATATTCAGATCCATTTCTTTCATGGATGTTGGAAAATATTGGTAGTACAATGTCTATGAAAAAATGCTTCTAAAGTATCAACAGAAAAGCTTTTTTGATATTTTGATTAATTTAACTCTAAAATAAACCATCACTCTAAAATGTTTCTTAAAAGGTCTCTGTATAAAGAAACTACAGAATATGATGCCTCTTTTTCGATACATACTTACAAAACTAGACAAGAAAAAACAGTGTGGGAATTAGTTTAAATTAGTTAAGATAGAAAATAAGTCTACACAAATAAAACCCTACTAAGAGACACCTGTTAAACAAATACAAATCTCTTACCAGTGGCCCAGGCCACTCTTAACCAGTGGCCCAGCTGACTGCAGATTCTGTATAACTTTTGAAATATCTTTTTGTTTTTCTTTGATTTGTTGTTTAGTTCTATGGTGCTGGAGATTAAACCCAGGCCCACAGGCTTGCTAGGTAAGGGCTCTATCACTGAGCTGTATCCCCAGCCCTTGAAACTTTTTTTTTTTAGTTGTGCTAGGGATCAATCCCAGTGCCTGGGGATTGAACCCAGGGCCCTGTACATACTAGGCAGGTGCTCCACAGAGCTATACTCTCAGCTGGTGAAATATCTTCTGCTAGGATAAAAACATTTTCATATATCTAAGCCATTACTTAGTGTCTTCACCTGACCCTCCCCCATGTATATACTCTTTTCCTTTGGTACAAAGAAAACCTGAAGTTATGCAGTCTCTTTCCTTATGTGGACTCAAACCTAAACAAATGCAGTCACACGGATTATTTATGAACTAATCTTCTGGAGTCATGGATTAATATGCCAGAACTCAGCAGGCCATGAATCTACTTCTCTGGGTTCTTTGCAAGTCCTCTCAAAGTGTCATCATTCTGCAGAGAAGTTTCCATAAGTGTGGTCCATGGTCCCCTAGGGGTCCCTAAGACTCTTTCAAGGGTATTCATGAGTTCTAAGCTATTTTCATAAAACTTATCATAAGAAACAGTGTTTTCCAGAGACTGAGCCACGTGTGATATCGCAACAGACTGAATGCAGAAACGGAGTCGGGGATCCAGCTGTCTTCTATTAAGCTAGACATAAAAGAGACTTGTAAAAGTAAAAAACAATGCCAGTATTCTGTTTTTGTTTTGGAAATAGTTATTTATTATGTTACTTATGTTAGGATGCAATGGCTGTATTATCTAAAAATAAATGTATTTTAAAATTTTTCCTCCATATTTCAGCCTTAAGATGGTAAATATTAATAAATACAACTTACATAAACAAAAGCTCTTTGAGAGTATAAAATGGTCCTAAGACCAAAAAGTTTGATAAATGATGATTCGGCATAATCTCTGACACAGGGTAATCACTGAACACACATGTTGCAAATGGATAAATGGATTGGTGAAAGGCTTAAATGATAACTTGTAAATGTGGAAGCAACTCCAGAGTTCAATAAATATACAGAGCTAGTAAGGATCCTTGAGTGACCACCCTGGGGTCCCCTGCACCTACTTGAACATGAAAAAGAAAAGGCAGTAAGACTGATAGAGCTATAAAGCAATAATTATTGCATTAAAGGTGCCAGATAAGTATGGTTTACAGACAACTGAAGGCAAGTGAAGGGAGTGTTCATTGAAGTATCAGTGCAAATAAGGTTCCGGTCATTGATGGACTTCCTTTATCCAACTTATCTCATTTCAGAGAAACTATGTCTTCTATGAATTCTCAGGGCATGGCCTTCTAAAGGGTTTTCTGAGATTTAATACCCAGGCTAGTTAACATCCTACAATATCCTACACAGTTCAATGCTTAGAACCCCACAATCAGTTCACTGGTGTCGCACAGCCATAGTGTTCCCATCCTTCTCCCAATTTTCTTCTTGTAATGTCTTATTCATCTTGCAGAGTGTACTCTGGACACCTCCTCCCAAAAGCTTTCCTTGAATTCTTTCCCAGAGAAGATTAAAAATTCTTGACTGTTTTCTCTCTGCACATTGTCCATAGATCTATGCCACCACGCAGTAGATACTGTTAAAATTTTCTATTTACACTCTATCCTTTTCTGGACTATTAGGGTCATGAAGGTAGGACCCATGCATTGCTTACCTTTATGGGTTAGTACCCATCAGTTCCAAAACTGTGGAGATGTTTGAGAAGTCCTCTCAAACTCCAGCCAATCATCTTATGAACATACAGGACAACCACCAGAATTAAGTAAAATGCAATAGAATATCAAGGGAGTGGTGACATTCTATCTGGTTCCAGCCCAGCTAGAGGCCCAGGATATGTGTCCTACTGGTAGCAAGTTAGTCTTGCCATGCTTCAGAATGGAGGGCAGCCTGCTTAAAGCATCCTCTCCTAAAATCCTACCTCCTGGAAAAGCACTGAGCCTCTTTTATCTTTCTGAAAGGATACAAATTGCAAATGGTGTAGGTAAGGGTCTGAAATGATAAATTAAACCAAGGTAAAAAACTCATGAGGCAAAAAGCATACTGAAGTGAAAAAAGAGTCAATTAGCAGAAAAGGATTGAAGCAGGGACAATGTTCCAATCTTGATGCTTGTGCAATGTCAAAGGAGGCTAGAAATTCATGATCCAAAATCAATCAGACTTTGTTGCCACCTTTTAAGTGTCACGGCCATTAACAAAGAACAAGCATTCTCATTAGCAGAGCAGAGGAGGAAACTGTAGGCCTAGGAATAGTGTTGGCAAAGAAATGGAGTAGGTAAGTCATTTCCATGTTCAGCTTGAAGATTATGGCTATATGGTAAAAATTAAGATTTTGCCCAGAATCTAACATGGGAGAGATGTCTGCATATTCCAAATGAAGAGAGAAAAATGAGTAGCACTTGAGTTGAAATATGAGATTGGGTAACTAAAGGCAACCCAATCTTATGAAAAGCTACAGAGAGGAAAGGTCTCGAGGCATAAAAACCTTGTCCATCCTTACAATCATCCAGTATAATTGGATGTGTATCCTTTTGTGAGACATTGAAATTAGCAATTTATTTCTCATTCATTAGACTGGTTCAAACCACCCTCACCAGATGTCTCAATTATCAAAGGTTCCAAGGTCATGTAACACTCAGACAACCCTTCGTATCTGTTTTCTTTACCCTATCGTAACTTTTCCTCATTAGAGGTAGAGTCATAGCCTGGGGGAAATCTTATCACAGTGTCACAGAATGTGATAGCTGAAAGTCACTCTTAGAAGTGACTATTTTAATCTGGTCCATGTTTGGAAAACTGAGGCCCAGAGAATTCAGGTTCCTTCCCTAACCACACAGCTCAGTATGCGAGGAAGAGATTAGTCCACAGCTCTTCCTCCAGCTCAGTGCTGTTTTCAAGATGCTAAAGCAAAGACGTGTAGACACTCCTCTGGAAATGATGACAAATTTGGACAAATTGCTAGCCTTGAGCACCATATCCTCTTTGTATAAATAAAAACAATGCTTTACACCTGCTACCATCACCCTGGGAACATCCGCAGTTTATTCCCTGGAGCCATCGCAGGAAGAAGGAAGACCGCGCTGCCAGGAAGCAGTGGGGCTGATCTTGGGAGGGCGCAGCTCAAAGTGAGCCGGGGCACAGGTTTAAAAGTAGCCTATGGACAAGTTCGAGGAGTAGGACGCCTTCCTAGCCTCAGTGTGTCTTCTCAAAGTGTTTGTTGATTACACGAGGAAAAACAGAGACTGTACAGTGGAGAAGTGAATGCCCCCTTAACTGGAGGGTGGAGGTTCACATCATCAGAAATAGGACAGATGGGTGTCAGAACATGATGCACTAATGACGTGATGAGCTAAGAAGGGCACTTCATCTGTAAGGTGTTCTTTCAAAAACCCATGGCCTCCATTTAACCATAAGAAAACACCAGAGAACAAGAGTCCTTCTGCAGGTAGCTGGCTGTGCTCTCCACAAGGGTCTGCACCATGACCGTAGGTGGAGGAGATAAGCATGCTCCCACACCACTCTCCTCATCGGGATGGAAATGACTGGGACCATCTCTGATGCAGCTCAGCTCCCATCTACACAGAACTCACTGATGCATCTCAAAACAGCTAATGTTCGCAACATACCTGCTTCCCACGGGTGAGTAACATGCATTCTGCTGCACCTCGTAGCCCTGCCTACCTTCCCCATTCCATGAGTTAAGACACACGGTTGTGTTGAGACCACAGTGCTATCTCCGCACAGCATTCAATACACCCCACTGTCCTCCCCGACCAAACCTAAGAGCACATTGTCCCAACGTAAAGTGCTCTTGTGTAGACTTTCCTTTACCTTCAGTCACCTTCCCAGACTTCATGCAGCACAACACCTTCTCTAGGAGGCCTCCCTCAGGCACCCTCAGCCTCCCTTTAGACAAGTCCCCTTCTTCTCAGAAGTAATTGGGCTGTGATACCTGTGGATGCAGGACATAATTGTACTTGTGCACTTCTAACACTCAATTGTAATTACATACATAGACATCCATCTTCCCACCTATACCCGGGGTTCCTGGAGAAAAGTAACTTGCTTTATTTGTGTGTCCTCAGTCCCTGGGAGAGTGTGTGGCTTACAACCAGCCATATAATAAAGGATTGCTAAAGCAAAGACTGTTATTCCCATTCTCTAGTTTCTTCATTCAGGAACTTACCAATGTGGCAGACAGGTGCAACATGCAGGCGTAACCTGGGACAAACGAAGGCAGGCTGCAAGCACTCTGAGTGTCCTCTGCATTGTGCAGAAGCTTGAAGGTTTGGCTGTGTCCCTCTGTAAGCAAAGCTTCGGCATTCTGATGAGGCATGAAATGATTACCCGCTGACACTGACTTCGCTCAGCCTCTGCTGCAAACTAAATGATATTTAGCCTCCAGACCTGTTGATCCAATCTTTTTGTTCCTCCCCTGTGGGCATTAATGCTCAGTGGGAGGGATAGGAAATGAATTTAGGCAACCAGACCAGTAGGTCACTAATGACACTGGTTTAGTCTAGTGTAAAGAAAAAGCGAGGTTGGGGATTTGACTCGGTGGTAGAGCACTTGCTTAGCAAGCGCAAGGACCAGGGTTCAATCCTCAGCACTGCAAAAATAAATAAAATAAAAAGGAAATCTTTCCGAAATTTCACCTCTGACAACTATGATTGGACAGGTTGTCCCTGATTGCTTTTGACATGGGCAAAGCTTTACAGTGACTCCCAAACTTCTGACCAGCTGCATCAATACCTCGCTGATCATGACATAGTTCAACAACTGAAAAAGCTAAAGTGCCTCTACTCTCCATTCTGTGGCAGGACTTGGGTGCCAGCCCTCATCACCTTCTGCCTGGATTATGACAAGGACAAGAAGCTTCTGGTTTCTCTGACTCCTATCTGTATCCCAAGTTCAGCGTAATTTCAGCTCTTCACCACCATCCTCCTTCAGCAGGAGGAATGGTTGGCAGTCACTTTCCTCCTGATCTCTTACCACACAAGCACCTTGAACCACCCACACTAAGGCCTTTGTTGTTCTGCTCTCTCCCCTGGATTGTCCTGCCCTCCTGTCCTCGGTAAACTCCTATACATCCTTCACCACCCACCTCTGAAACCACATTGGTAGATCTTCATTCCAGGAACACACACCGCATCACTTAGTGTTTAATATGAAAGTTCTCACAGCAGCTGGCCCCTCCTAGAAGGCAGAGAAATACTCATTCATGAATTACCTACAGAACAAGATTTTGTTACTGAATTTAGTTATTAACTCTTATCATTTAAGTTTTCCTCTGTACCTGTGTGTGTCTTTCATTAGATTACCAGTTCCTCCTGGCTCGTGTTGCTGGGCCCGGCACCCTGCATGCTCAGGCCGTCTAAAGAGATGTGCTAGCTGTGTGACTGAAGGGTAGAAATCTTTCTAGCCGAGAGAATGGAGGTGCCAGGACTTTCCCAATAGTCCTTGGATCCAGATGGGCATCAGAAACACCTGGAAAGCTTGTTAAAAATTTAGATACTCCCAACTGCCCACTGTGGATTCTGACTCAGAAGGACTGACTCAGAAGACTAGAAAAACCTGTGTTTTCCACTAGGTTCCCCTAGTGGAGCCTAGTTCACTGGGTGACTCCCAAACACAGGAACCCTTCCTTTATGCTGTATTGTCTGCTGAGTTCCTGTGCCCTGCTTGCCCCTCAAACTCTCCCCTCTGGGGTCAGAGGTCATAGGGGAGGTCAGGAGTCACTAATGGAGAGAAAGTTCTGAACTCTCTGTGCCAGCTTTTCTCTGGGCTGGCTCCCAAGCCAGGAGGCAGCTGTGAGGTGGCTGCATCTGGAGAACACACAGGCTACTTATCTGCTCCTTCTGAAATGCCAGTGAGTTTGAAAGGCACTTTGTCCAATTAGAAGTGTGGAGAAATATTCATCCTGTCCGTGACAAAGATGAAGTGCTTCTTTCAAAAGCAGTGGTGGCAGCCTGCCAGGTGTAAGAAGTCCTACGATTCCACGTTGAGCCAGCAGTTATTAATTAGTTTTATTAGTGGCAGGTCCTTAATGCAAAATGACAGAGGGAGAGAGAGACTATCCCCGTCACTACTAAAATACAAATTGTCCAGATTTAGGTTCTGTTGTTCCCCAACATGTACAGGCAGCCCGCCAGGCCAAGTAGGGAATGGAAGAGGCAGCCAAAAGCCTTTCTGCAGAGTTCTGACTATAATGTCCTGACAAGGAGACTCAGGTACTTACCTCAGGTAGCTCTTGAGAGGAAAATCCACCAATTTTAATTATTAAGGAGGAAGAGCCTCCAAGGGAGGATGGAGAGAGCTGAGGGGAAAGCCAGGAGTCAGAGGTGGGGATGTGGTGAGGAGGGGACAGACCCTTGTCCACATTGACCGACAAGGCCTCTGTGAGGACCAAAAGCTTCTACAGAGTAACACAGGGCTATTCTGTCAAGAATTAGTCTTATACTGTCAACCGCTTTTTGATGACCATTAATCACATTTGTATTTATAAGCGTTAAGACAGGATAATCAAATCTCATGCTTCAAAGCATATGTTTATCACCACAGGCATAAAAAGGAAAGAAAAAAAAGTTTACAAGCCTGCACTGTTGGCAGGAGCTGTGGTTTATCTGGTAGCTTCCCCTGGGGGGGCTCTGGAGAACATTCTGTGAGGGAGAGGACAGAGCTGCCCTATGTCTTGCTTTGTTAATGTCTCTACTTCTTTCTGTTCTGGGCCCAAGGCAGGAATTTAAAGGAAGTTCCCCACCAGTCCCACAACACACCCCTGAACTCCTTGTCTTGGGTTTACCAGAACTTCCTTCTCTCCCTGCAAGATGGAGGACCCTGACAGCTCCAAGTGATGTCTTTCTCCCTGTGTCTTTTCTTTCAGTAGCTTGTGTACTTCCCCACTCTTCCCCAAAATACCCTATAGCCCAACTCCAAGTTGCCTATGCTTTGAACAGGTTTTTCTGCCCACACACCTTAGGGCCATCTTCCTCTAGACTAGAGCAGGGATAGGGAAGTTTATCCTGCAGAAGTCTAATAGTAGATATTTTAGATATTTATACCCTGTAGACACTGCTCTGCCAGTGTAATTCCAAAGCAGCCCCAGCCAATATTTAAAAGAATGAGCATGGTTGCATCAAAATAAAACTTTATTTATAAAAGCAGACTGTGCATGAGCTGGGTTTGATCAGACGATGGTGGTATGCTGACCCTTACTCCAGAGTGACAGCATTCTGTCCAGAAACCCAAGTACCAACAAGTTCCACAAAACAGGATGGAGTATTTAAAAATTCTCTGGCCAGAACCATATCTACTACTTGTTAAGACAGCCCTTACCTCAGACCACGTAACAAAAATTGGGAAATCCTCATTAATAAATTCATTTGGAGGAGCAAAGTCTTTCAGAACATGCAGCCCACTGCTTCTCTTCTTCTCTGTCAGTGAGCAAGGGGTCTCAAAGGCCTCTGCAGCCACACGTGTGTCCAGGAGGTGGCCTGGAGTTGCACAAAGCACTGCTAATGAAATAGGATATCATCTCCTAATGTGTGTGACCAGATCCAAACAAAAAAGCTACTCTTGTGAGTACTCACTAAGAAAGGAAAAATTCTATAAGCCCAGTCCTCATTTTCTAGAACAAGATGCACAAGAATGCACAGCACTGGGGAAAGACAACAAGATAGAGGAAATCCTGATTCTTTTGCTGACTGGATGGATGATAAGCATGGCTCCTTCATCCTTGACTCTTCAGTGTTTAACACAGGCCTTAAAATTTTCTTGAATGAATGTATTTTTACATTCACGTTAGACATTATAAAAAACTTACAAATGAACATGAGATGACCTTTGCCTTCCTAGGGTTATTGGTATAATAAAGGAGAACATAAGAAGAGAACGACATAAACACACAGGGCCCATATGCAGACACGTCATCTGCAGGCTCCCACTCCATCTCCAGGAACTTCTCCAGCCTGCACTTTGGGTTGCCCAGCTCCTGCAAGTTCTGTAGTGGATGATTCATAGGATTGAAGAAGGAGGGGCCAGCACAATGTCAAGGTCCCAGCAAGAAGGAGGGCTGAAACCTAAAAAATGGTAGCCATCATTATTCCAGCATTAATTATGATGGAAACGACCACTGCAAAAAACTTACTTATTTGTTAATAGGGGACAATAAATTAATATATGCCTATGCTATGGGAAATGCTGCAATTTTTTTAAAAAGAACAAATGAGACTTGTATCCTATCCATTGGCTTGAAGTGATGTTCATGATACTTTTTTTTTTTTGGAGGGACTGGAGTTTGAACTCAGGGCTTCACATTTCCAGAGCAGGTGCTCTACCACTTGAGCCACATGCTACATTGTTAAGGTTATCTGTCTCTCAAAGTCCAAAAGCCTGTTGAAGTTAATTTTCCTGCATATCAATAAAAATGTTTTTATTTATCAATTAGTATTCGGTCCAGAAAAAATAATCATTGTATTATACTTTAAGTACACTGGCATGCTCAGATCTAAAATTAGGAGCTTCTGTTTCCTCACACAAACAGGTGAGCCTTATAGACATACCTCCAATCTAGATGCTTTACTAAAAAAATAGTTACAAGACAGAGGTTACAAAAAAGAATTCTAGGGGAACTGACATGGCACCCAATGGGTATACTACAGAATGCTTGCACGCGTATATAGTTCCATCTGTAATTTATATGAAGTATAAGTAATTTTGTTTGTATATATGAATCCTATTTCCCTACCGGCTTCCCTTAAAAAAAACCGGATTGATTTTCAATAGCTCATAAGCTTAGATTCTTAGCCTTTCAGCAGAGAAATTAATGACCTATAAACAAAGACTAAATGCATCAGGGAGATATTTCATATATCTGGGTTTTCGTGTGGGGAGCAGTGTTGTACAAAGGAAAGAACATATCTTTAGAGTAGAAGGGACTTTTGTTGAAATGCCGGCTCCTCTGCTGTTGGCTTTGGGCAAAGCTCTGAACCTCTGTTTCCTCATCTAAAAATAGGAACAGTGAATTGTTCCTTGCACAATCAATGTGCTGGATCCATGAAGCCCTTAGTACAACCCTTGGTACAGTACTTGCTCAGTAACCATTACCTGCATTATGATTTTGAAAATTGATATTTATTAAAGGAATGCATATATAAGCTGCTATCTGTCTCCTTGTAGCAAAAAAAAAAAAAAAAAAAAACAACAACAACATAGAAATCAGTTCTGATCCAGAGCACACTTAATGGTTAAGAGTGAAGGTGAGATGGAAAAATGACACCAACACACAGCCAGCCCCTTTCTTGATCATTTTTGTTGTGTTCCAGGACACCACAAGGCTGGTTACTATATTTCTCAGGCTGTGTTCAAAGCATTTATTCAAGTGCAATGCTTTGCAGATGAACACACTGGCAACCTTTAAAATATTCATCTTCCCCTCTATCTTCCTTCCAGTGGGATTGACACAGGAGCTGCTTATCCAGTCTCCCTGTGCAAACAGCAAACCAGTGGAGTGGTCCTCCTACAGATACCACACACCAGGCATCCAAGAACGTACCTTAGGGACCTGGGGCACAACTCTGTCCATGAAGGCTGCTTCTGCAAGACCCAAGGAGCCAACAGACTTGTGATGACTCAGTTTTCCCACATTCTTTAGTTTTCATCATCCTGAAAACCTGGTGGTACCAGGAATACATAAAATCCAGGTCTGCAGAGTGCTGAAGTCTGCATGGAAAATGCTAGTGCCCTTTGAGCTTCACTTCTCTCAGTGCAGGTGCCCAGAATGAAGATTACAGCTGCAGTCCAGGCTCAGCCTAAACTTTGTTTAATGGTGCGCATGGGACTGATGTTGATAGCCAGGGGACGTGGGTAGCTTTGGGGGTTAGCTCTCCACACCAAATGTTGTGTACAAACAAAGGTCATGCAGCATAGGTCACTCTTAGCCAATGCATTGCTATTTAAGTAAAAGCTAACCTGCACTTTGGGCAATTGTGATTTACTGAGGAGGGTAATGTGAATAATGCAGTGGACCTGACCATTGGCCTTTAATTCCTCTCATTTAGACAAGCTGCTCTTCACTATAAAATAGTCATTCTGTGAATTAATGTGTTTTATTTTAAAAGTGACATGTTGTACTGGCTTGTGCTTCAAGGCAAATTACTCTGATTGCCAGTTTCCCAAATAGGCTATGAGGGATCCAG